GAACAGTGATGGTGGTTTCTCGGGATTGAAGCACATGCCTTCTCTTTCCCCTCAGACCTGGGGCTCAGAAAGCTTTTTTCCCCTGGAGATTTTCTAGTTTCAAGTGCCTGGTAAGGCACAATGGAGTCTAACATGGATCACCTGGTTTTGGGACATTAAAATGTCATTTTCTTGAGCTGTGAGAAGCATTTGAGAATATTGTCCCTTTTGTACCTGATCCTAGCCTTATTTGCAGTCTTTATATGAGTTTCCTTTTTATGTATTTTTGGTGAGCCAATGCAGTGAGCCTTAACACACATCGCAGATTCTATGCTCAGAATCTCCCCCGTGTAGAGGGCGTTGTCCGTTGAGTGTGGTTCTGCTGAGATGTGGCTTCTCAGGAGAACCTCAGGGCATCCTTCGAAGAGTGTTCTCTCTCCCAGGTGTCGGCCAACAAGGGGGAGATAGGTGACGCCACGCCATTTAATGATGCTGTTAACGTGCAGAAGATCTCCAACCTCTTATCAGATTACGGCTACCATCTCCGAGGAAACGAGGTACTGGCTGGCACTGTAGTCATTGCTCTCGCATGTTGGCCTTGAGTTTTTGTGTGTAGATTTTTGTTCTTAAAAAAAGGACCTTTTCTTAAAGTACAGCACATTAGATATATACCCAAATCATGTACAGCTTGATGGGTTTTTACAAAGTGAACACACCTAACTAGCAGTAGCATCTACAAAAGCGAATTTCTAGAATCTTCCAGTCCCTGCCTTCCCCACCTACTCTCGGTGACCACTCCCACGACTGCTGGTGTTAAATTAGCTTTGTCTGCCTTGGTTCTGATATGGATGGAATTGTACCATATATATACAGCTGCCAGGTATGATCTTTGAAATTGTTTCATGGTTTTGGTCTGTGTCTCTCCCTCTGTGTCTGTCTCAGGTTCTGTACAACGGGTTTACTGGCCGGAAAATCACATCACAGATCTTCGTCGGCCCCACTTACTACCAGCGCCTGAAGCACATGGTGGATGACAAGATCCACTCGCGGGCCAGAGGCCCCATCCAGATCCTTAACAGGCAGCCCATGGAGGGCCGCTCCCGGTACGGGTCGGGCGTTCAGGGCCCACCTCAGCCCCACAGAGGCAGCGTGTCATCACGCTGAGTGCCTGTCCTTCAGCATGACCTGCGCAGGCGGTTTTAGTCCATGCGTCTCCTTTCCTGCAAGCCTGATTGTTCACTTCAATTTTTTTTTAAAGATTTATTTTTATTATTTTTTTATTGGAAAGGCAGATATACAGAGAGGAGAGACAGAGAGGAAGATCTTCTGTCCAATGATTCACTCCCCAAGTGACCACAACGGCCGATACTTTGCTGATCCGAAGCCAGGAGCCTCTTCCGGGTCTCCCACGCGGGTGCAGGGTCCCAAAGCTTTGGGCCGTCCTCGACTGCTTTCCCAGGCCACAAGCAGGGAGCTGGAAGGGAAGCGGGGCTGCCGGGATAGAACCGGCGCCCATATGGGATCCCGGGGCATGCAAGGCAAGGACCTTAACCACTGCGCCACCGTGCCGGGCCCTGTTCACTTCATTTTATGTAACAGGGAGAGAAAAAGAGAGACAGAAAGGTCTTCCTCGCCTGGTTCACTTCCCCAAATGTCTGTAACAGCCAGGGCTGGTCTGGGCTGAGGCCAGGAGCTGGGAGCTCAGGTACTGCTGCCACCCAAGTTCATGTAAGCAGAATGGGGACTCAGACCTGGCCATCCGATCTGGGCTGTGGGCATCCCCAGAAGTGGCTTAAGCACCGAGTTCTCCCTGGACATAAATATTTCTGTATGTACATCTGTGAGTAGACCCCACATTCCTTGCTCCTAGGATCCCGAATTGCTTGTAGCAATTGATATTTTTCATATTATAAATTGATACTGAGAAAGATGTTAAATATGTATTAATTTTAAAAAAGATTTATTTATTTTTATTGGAAAGGCAGATATACAGAGAGGAAGAGAGACAGGGAGGAAGATCTTCCATCTGATGGTTCACTCCCCAAGTGACTGTAATAGCTGGAGCTGAGCCAATCCGAAGCCAGGAGCTCTTCTGGGTCTCCCACGCAGGTGCAGGGTTCCAAGGCTTTGGGCCGTCCTTGACTGCTTTCCCAGGCCATAAGCAGGGAGCTGGATGGGAAGCAGGGCCACCGGGATTAGAGCTGGTGCCCATATGGGATCCTGGCGTGTGCAAGGCAGGGACTTTAACCACTACACTATTGCACTGGGCCCAAATATGTGTTAATTTTTTAAAAATATTTTTATTTGAAAGGCAGATTTACAGAGAGAAAAGGAAAGACAAAGAGAAATGAACCAGCAGTGGAAGCTCCTCTCTCTCGTGTCTTCTGCTTTTGCTGTCGCCTTGCCTTCCAGATACGTGACAATAATTTGTTTCCACACAACTTCAGGGACGTGAGTGGCGCTGCTCACCTCTGCCTGGGTCCCTGTGTGAGCAGCTTCCGGCAGGCAGCTGAATGCTTGTTTTTATGCCTGTCTGGGGCCCTGTTGGCATCTGCCGTGTTCCAGTGTGTGAGAGAGCGGCTGCTATGTGGGAGCAGACGGGAAGTTGGCTCTAGATTTTCAGGTTGTTGTAGATAGTGTTTGATGCTGTCCCCTAATGAGAAGTTAAGATTATTTTATTTTGCCGACAGAGTGACAGAGACTTCTCCCACTTTCCAGATGACCATGATGGTCAGGGCGGAGGCAGGAGGAAGCTAGGAGCTCTGTGTGGGTCTCTGCCATGGTACCAGGGTGCGTGACAGCTCTCAGGTGGTTGTCACGTGTGTGAGCTTTCATGTCATCATCGTCATGGCTGGCTTCTGAGACTCTTCCACAGATAGTGCACGTGTGTGGTAGGGATGTTGTTCCAGAACACTGAAGTGATGTGTGCTGAAGTGATGTGTGCTTGAGGCCGATGCACAGCTTCCCGGGGGACCCTGGATGTGAACATGGCTTCCCCTTCACCCGAGTGGCGTGTGTGACTGAGTGAAGTCCCGTTGTGCTGAGGGTGCCGCTGCGTGAGCCACGGTGCAGGACTGGCAGGGGGAGAAGCAGGCACTGGTGTGACCCTCCGAATGCCAGGGCTGCACACTGAGAGCCTCTGGTTGGCGGGTTCAGAAGGTCAGGGCCCATAGCACTGCCTTAGCACTGCGCAGGTGCCGTGCAGGTGGCCTCCTGGCTAGCGTGTTGAAGGGCTTCGGGTTTTAACCAGAATACGGGTAGGGCTTGCTTTGTAGTGATGGATGTGTCTGCTTGGCTCTATCAAAAAATCTGGAGCACCAGATAATCAACTTTTTTCCTTTCAGTTGGTTGGTTGAAGAAACTAGGTGGTCGTAGAGGTTTCTCGCTGTGCTGTGTGGTTTCTTGTGAACAGCTAGTGCGGTGCAGGGCTCTGGGGGTTGCAGAGGGAGCGCCCCGGAAGTGGAGGTACACTTCCTGTATGTGGCTGCCTCCAGTGCAGCTATGAATGAGATTCACATTTTTCATCCTTCATCATTTTTAACTGGATAACTTCTGAAATTTTGGTTATGTGATGAGATGGTTCCTGTGGTGGAAGAATCAATGCTCGATGCTGTGTTCCTTCTCTGCCGCTTTGCAGAATGATGAGCTGGCCACCTTCACTCTCCAAAGTTGACTTGATGTTTTTTGTTTGGCAATGTTAGAGCTGACTGGCTCTGGGTGTGTGTGTGGAGAATGTCGAGGTTACTGCCTGCCTGGCCGTCTGAACAGTGTCTTTCCCTGCCAGGAGAGCTGTAAGACAGTCACTTCTAGACTTGATTTCTAAGAGTTGGATTGTAGAAGGTTGAATGAGGGGCCACCTGCGACCCCGGCACCCCAAATGGGTGCTGGTTTGGATCCCGGGTGCTCTGCTTCCAGCTCCCTACTGGTTAGTGCGCCTGCCAACGTATGGGCGAGCCCTTCTGGCATTAGCCTGCCTAGTGCTGGCTGTTGTGGCCATTTGGGGAGTGAACCAGCAAGTGGAGGGTTGGCCCCCAACTCTCCCTGGCACCGTAATTCTGCCTTTCAATTAGTCTTCTAATAACAAGAAAGTTTTCAGTGATAGCAAAGTGAGCCTTCATTCTGTAGTTGGGTGTATGTATGAGGGAAATTACAGTTGAGGAGCTTGTGTCTGTCTTTGGGGACCTTCCGAGGCACAGCACGTGGTTAGTAGGCCTCTCCTCTGGCACCAGGGGGAGAGACTGGGAGGACAGAGGAACTGGAGCCTCGTTTGCCTTTCCCTTGGCCACTGGTTGGGGTGGCGTCGGGGCGGCCCTGCGCTCAGACCTGTTGTGTTTCGGCAGTGACGGCGGCCTGCGCTTTGGAGAAATGGAGCGGGACTGTCAGATTGCCCACGGGGCTGCACAGTTTCTACGGGAAAGGCTCTTCGAGGCATCCGATCCCTACCAGGTTCATGTTTGCAATCTGTGTGGCATCATGGCCATCGCCAACACCAGGACCCACACGTATGAATGCAGAGGCTGCCGCAACAAAACGCAGGTGGGTGCACTTCCTGTCTGCCCAGACCAGGGCTGTGAGCAGGTAACAACTTGGGGAGATGTGCTATGGCGGGACATGATTGCTTTTTCTACAGACAGGTGGGGTACTATCTTCTAGCTGTTCATCTGTTGTAAACAGTAAGACCTTGCACAAGGAATTTTAAGTGCTTCAGTTTTTCTGAAACCTTTTAATTGAGGAGGGAACAGATGAGTCAGGGCTGGGATAAGGAGGGAAGGGAGAAAGCAGCCGCCCAAGTTGGAGAGAGGCTGCAGTCTCAGGCCCACGCTCGCACCCACCCTCTGCTGACACACTTCGTGCCCCCCAGATTTCCTTGGTGCGGATGCCATACGCGTGCAAGCTGCTATTCCAGGAGCTCATGTCCATGAGCATCGCCCCACGGATGATGAGTGTGTAGCCCTTCTAGAGCATTCTCAACAGAGTTCTACGATACAGCTTTGAAAAGACAATAAACCGTACTGTGTTGCAATGAAAGCATTTTATTTGGTTTAATGATATGCATGCTGTTTTTCTGTAAATAGTCAAATAAAGTTTTGTAGAAAATCTCAATGTGTGTTTTTAGATTGGGCTTCTTTGCAAAACCAGTGAATAAAAGCAAAGGATTAGTGGGCAGCAGGAGAGGAGACGTGGGATTAGCCAGGGGCAGAAGCTGCAGTGCCCCGGGACCGGTTGGGGCTGGGCAGGTCAGTTCGTGCTGCGCTCACAGCTCCGCACCCTCACCTGGACACAGAAGGAAAGACAACAAGTTAGTTGTACCCACGGAGGACACCATGCCCTGTCAGGTGTATAGTGTTCCTAACGTTTCCCCATGTGGTCTGCAGTGGTGCTGACGGACCACACTGCTGCCAAGGGCTAGACAAAATGACCCCTGAAAATGTAGTCCGCCAGCTGCTGCCTTGGCAGGGCCAGCCCAAGTGAATTCACAGGCTGGACAGTCCCTAGCCCTGGCCCAAGGGACTCAGAAGGTCAGCTCTGTAGGGCCCAGGTGGGGTTCTCTGGATTTGAGGCAGCTCCTTGGGCTGCAGGACGGCTCGCCCTCAGGGCCTGAACTGCTGGGGCAGTGGTTAGTGGCAGAGCTGAGACCTGGCGAAGCTGCACTGTGGCCGAGCAGAAGCTGGCTGGACCATCCTAGCTCGCCATTTCCTGCCGTGTTCTGGCTGAGCAAGCTCCACAGTGGATCAGGCTGGCTGCCACTGGCAGAGCCCATTTAGACAAGTCTGGTTGCACTGCCATGACACCCTCGGCACAAGCCCTTCTCGGGAAGCTTGTGGCAGCCAGGCAGAGGCTAAGCAGGATTGCAGCCAGCCTGAAGGACCAGAGTTGCCCACAACCATGTCCTTATGGGAAGCATCCAAGCTCGCACTCTGGGAGAGCTGGTTAGGGCAAGCAAGGGCCAGGCCAGTCAGGTGTGTGGGGCAAGCAGAAACAATGGCGTTCCCGCAACAGTGGGGCTGTGTGACGTCGAATGCCAGCAACGGTCCTCTGGAACTCGCCCTGGCGGGTGCGTCCTTACCCACTATGGGGTGCCAACCCACCTTTCTTTGCTGGTATCTCGTGCAGGGTGTCCACCACGGTGATTTTGGCGGATGCTGACGCCTGCCCCTGGGAGTTGGACGCGTGGCACTCGTACTCTCCCGCGTCCTCCTTGCTCAGTGGAGACACCTGCAAGATGAAAAGTGTGTGTGTGTGTTGAGGGGTGGGGGCTCCCCATGATTAAGGGCTTCATGGCATTCTGGATGGCTTCTGGTTATACCACACAGACCCCTCCAATCCAGGGTGTCCAGTAGAATGGGAAAAGGAGGAAAAGCAGTTCCTTCCGGATGGTCTCTACAGATCCCTCTTCAATGAAGGAATCTGCTCAGATCCTGAGAAGGAATGGGGCGACTCCAGGGTCGGGCCGCTTGTTCAGACGATTGAGTACCTGGAGAGCCATGGACGAGGGCTCACTCCGGGGCATGTCCTCGCTAACCCCAGCCACTTACCAGCACCCAGCCAGTCACTTCATGCTTCTCCGGGCCTCCCCGTGTTTGAATGGCCAGGTTGTCCCTGTCGCCGGGCAGGAGCTCAGTCCTCTGAACTCCATATTGACCCCTCTTCACCTGCAGAAATTAGAGAGGCTTATCACTTCCCAGGGAAAACATGGGGCATCCTCGGCATTGGCCCAAAAGTGTGGCTCACTCCCGGCCCCGAGTGCACACACAGCTCACCCTGCCCTGTCCCGAGTGCAAACACAGTTCATACTGCCCTGCATGTACACACAGCTCACCCTGCCCTGCCATGAGTGCACACACAGCTCACCCTGCCCTGCCCTGCGTGTGCACACAGCTCACCCTGCCCTGCCCTGTGTGTGCACACAGCTCACCCTGCCCTGCCCTGCGTGTGCACACAGCTCACCCTGCCCTGCCCTGAGTACACACATAGCTCACCCCCAGCCCTGTCCCCGGTGCACACACAGCATGGATACTCTCCTTTACTGTCCTGGGTCTCAGAGCACGTGTGGTTTAGGCCACACATCCTGCATGCATGGGGCATCCCTGTGGGTGTCCTCTCTACAGGAGAGCTGCCATCCTGCTCTCTGGCCCCTGGAAATCCTTTGCCTCTTTTACTTCCTGTTGTGTTATGTGGACAAAGTCACAATGGCCTGGCTTGGATTCTGGGAACTTTGGGATTCTTCAGGCCACAGACCCATCTATTGGATAAGAGCAGGCGAGTCCCAAGCCAGGACCCTTCCTTTGTTCTGAGGGCTAAGCAGCCATCAGGGGATTGAAGAGCTGAGACCAAAAATGCCTGTCACACACGTCTGTCACATACATGTTGCCTTGGAACTAAACTCGTGCCTCGCCTCCAACATATCCTTGTGAGATGCCTCCAGGCCTTCACGAAGCCACCTGTACACATCTCATTTTAAAAAGCCAGCATCTCCCCTAGCCCTCTACACCTACTCACAGCAGCCGAGTTTCAGGTTTACCAAAGGGGTGGCAGAAAGCGTGTGCTAGTGTAGCTTGCTGGCTAAGTTCAGAGGGGTTTCAAAAAGTTCATGTGACAAGCAGTATTAAAGATACATTTCTCTTGGGGGGGCGGATAAAATAAATGTGACAGCCATGCATGTGAAGTCATCAGAAAGTTGGTGGAGCATTGTATATTAAAACAAAATACACACACACGCATCAGGGATTTCAAGTTTGCACCTACATAAAAATTTTTGGTAAACTTTTTTTTTTTTTTAAAGATTTACTTATTTTTATTGGAAAGGCAGAGTTGCGGAGAGGAGAGTCAGAGAGAAAGATCTTCCATCCACTGGTTCACTCCCCAAGTGGCTGCATGGCTGGAGCTATGCCACCTAAAGTAGGGAGTTGGGAGTTTCTTCCAGGTTCCCCACATGGGTGCAAGGCTTTGGGCCATCCTCCACTGCTTTTGCAGGCTACAGAAGGGAGCTGGATGAAAAGTGGAGTAGCCAGGACACAAACTGGTGTCCACATGGGATCCCAGCATATGCAAGATGTCCTCGGATTTAGCCACTGGGCCATGGCGCCAGGCCCTTGGAGGCTGTTTGAAGCAGCCTCATTGACATGATCCGTGGGCTGTGGCAGTTTGTCTCAGGCCTTTACTTCCTGAGTCGCAGTCCCACAGGTGTTTTCTGTGTGACCCAGAGAATCAGGACTATCGCGGCATGGAAATCCTGAATCTCAGCAGCCGAGCTGTCCACCTTCAGAGGAGGGTGGGCATTTGGCACAGTCGTTGGGATGCTCACTTGGGGCACTGGTACCCCACATCACAGAGCCTGGGTTGGGGTCCCCACTCAGCTTTTGAGTCCAACATTCTGCTAACCATCATGCTGGGAGGCTCCAGCGGCTCTCTGCCAACCCCAGGAAATTCTGACCATTTGCACAGTTCTGGGCTTCCAGCTTTGGTCTGGCCCTACCCCAGCTGTGGCAGGAGTCTGGAGAGTCTCTCCTGAATTAAACAGGGCCTGGCCTGGCAGGGCAGTGGGTTATACCGCTATCTGGGGACCAGCATCCCCTAAAGGTGTTTGTTCAAGTCCTGACTGCTCTACTTGCAATCCTGCTTCCTGCTAATGGCCTGGGAAGAGAGCAGAAGCTGGCCCACCTACGTCTTTGGGCCCCTGCACCTGTATGAGAGATGTGAATGGAGTACCTGGCTCTGGGCTCCTGGCTTCAGCCTGGCACAGCCCAGGCCATGGTGGCACTTTGGGGAGGGAACCTGTGACCAGAGAATCTGACTCCCTCTTTGTCACTCCTTGGAAGAGTTGCAGAGACGGAGTCACTTCCCAAATGGCTGCAATGGCCAGAGCTGGACCAGCCCAAAGTTGGGAGCCAGAGGCCCTGTCAAGGCCCACCCACACATGTGCAAGGGTCCAAGGACTTGGGCCATCCTTTGCCACTTTCCCAGGCACACCAGCAGGAAGCTGGATCAGAAGTGGAGCACCCAAGACCACAGGTGGAGGATGAACCTTCTGTGCCACTGTGCCAGCCCCAAATAATTCTTGTTACATGCAATGTTTGGAATTGGTGTTGTGGCACTGCAGGTCTGTGATGTTAGTGTGCCAGTGGGTACCAGTTTGTGTTTAGGCTGCTCCATTTCCAACTCAGTTCTCTGTAACTCAGACTTTCAAGTTAAATGAATAAATTTTTTTAAAGATGAATGTATTTTATTTTAAAGAGTTGCAGAGAGAAAGGGAGAGGCAGAGATCTTCCATCTGCTGGTTCACTCCTCAGATGGCCGCAATGGCCAGAGCAGGGCCAAATCGAAGGGCAGGAGTCCCATCTGGGTCTTGCCCATGGATACGGGAGCCTGGACACCTGGCTCAGACACCTGGCTCAGCATCCCCTGCCTGGGCTCTTAGCAGGGATCTTTATCTGCAGGATTATTCTCCAAATAACCACCAAGGACAGAGCTGTGCTGATTTGAAGCCAGGATCTAGGAGCTTCACCTGGGTCTCCCACGTGGGTGCAGGAGTCCAGGAAGCTGAGCCATTTTCTGCTGCTCTCCCAGGCCACAAACAGGGAGCTGGACTGGGAAGCAGAGCTGCCAGGACTCCAACCAGTGCCACATGGGATGCTAATGCTGCAGACGAAGGGTAAGTATGATGCCACGGCGCCAGCCCTAATTAATCCTTAAAAAAATATATAATACTTAATGCAACTCATGGTTTATTTTAATTAGTATATTGTAAATTTACAAACCACATAGAAAACCTGTAAAGAAATGCCAAGAATGTTTATGCAGGGAACTTTGCCTTATCTGTGTTAAGTGCTGATAACTGCTGGCTGTGAGTAGTGGCTTCCAAGGCAATTGGCAGGCCTCAATGGGCTGGGAACACCCCCACGTCTAGACTTAGGAATCTGTAGGGTGGAAAGCCGGAAAGCGCTGTCCCTCCTTCAGTGGGCCCTGGAAGAACTGGCGGGCAGGAGGCTCGGAGGGAGGCCCAGGCAACTAGCTCGGAGCCTGGCTTCTGTGTTAGCCACAGCACACTGTGGCAGCAGTGGGGCTGGCAGGATCAGCCCCGGATGCCAAGGTCACAGCAGCGGCTCCCGAGGTTGGCACAGCCCACTTAGGGTGCTGCACCTTTTCTCCTGAAGCTGACAGCTTGGAGCAAGGACGTGGGTGGAGTATGACACAAGGTTCTGCCAAGTTGGTGGGAATTGGGTTCTCTCAGCCTCCATGCCCTGCTGCCGGCCTGCCCTGGTGTGCTTCGCGGTGCCCAAGGGAGGCAGGGGCACAGCGAGGACTGAACAAAGAAACCTTTGGAGCCACCTGTGACACTGCAACCCACGTGGATACTGGCTTGGGCTTTGGCTGTTCCACTTCCCACTCAGCTCCCTACGAATGCATATGGGAAAGCAGTGAAAGACAGCCCAGGTACATGGGCCCCTGGTGCTTCTGGGAGACTCGGATACAGCTCCAGACTCCAGGCTTTGCCATCGTGGCCACTTGGGGAGTGAACCAGAGCATGCAAGACCTCCCTCTCTGCTTTCCTCTGTCACTCTTTGAAATACATACATTAATCTCAAAAATAAGCATTTTTTGCCAAGCTCTGCCACCACAGGTCACATGCCCCAGGATACTTGGATCCCCCTGGCCTCTCATGGAGTGTCCCCAGGGGCCCGCAGTGACACCAGGGTTGCATGTGGGGACTCCTGGGCACAGGGTCCCCACATCTGCCCAGTCCTGAGCGCACAAGGCCCTTCCCAATCCACAAGGAAGGGGGGGGTGTGGGCTGCTTCCGAGGCTGTCATCCTGGGAACATGGTCATGGCTCCTACTCCCCAGTGCAGGCAGAACACACCGAGGAACAGGCAGGCCACTGCTCCCTTTGGTACTGGGCTCAGCTGTACAGAGTCCTTGGATTGGTGGGGCGGCGTGTCTCTACCCACTCCAGCCCCTAGAAATCTTCTGGGATCCACCACCAGGCATCTGCCTCCCTCAGACCACACTGGGGGCAGGTGACCTGACCTGGGTAGGCTCTCTCAGGGGCTCTGTACACGGAGAGAACCAGAGGCTGTGATGACAGACAGGGCAGTGTGGAAGCCCAGCTGGTGACAGGACACTGCCCACGGGAAAACAGGAGCAACGGATTGGCGGGTAGGGAGAGATAGCGAGTCAGTCAATCCAGCCATGAGAAATGGCTGTGGTGCTTTCCAGAGCCCTATGCCACAGGTGGCTGCGAGCATGACATCATGAGTGACGTCACATCACCAGCACTGATGCTGCTTGGACAGCGGAGGGCGTGGTGTGCAGCTGCGGGCAGGGCCTTTCTGCCACCCCAGTGATTTCCCCACTGTGGAGGCTGGATCGGGTCGGGGCTACAGGGACACTGATCTGCCAAGGGCTGCTCAGCACCTGCCCAGCTCCGGCACCACCCCAGAATTAACACCGTGGTCTGGCCAGGGAGTGAGTGTTCGCTCATTGCTTTCTTCCTTCCACATGGCGTGTCTTCCCCCCTGGGGGCCAGTGGCACACTCCAGGGACAAGGACGCTTTGCTTGTGCTACACCCCCTGGGCTGCTTCTCCCTGCTGTGTCCCAGGGCAGTCTGCTCTGGGCCTGACATACACACAACCCATGAATGCATGCACACACATACACTTACAGGTGCACCGAAACATCTACATATATGAACATACACACACACACTTCCCCCCAGCCCCACAGCACACACACAGGTACACTCGGACACCTACATACATGAGCACACACACGCACACTGCCTCCCACTCACAGCACTCACGTGCATATACTTACAGGTGCACTCACACATCTACATACGTGCACAAGCATAGGTAGATCTCCCTGCACAGTCCTCACAGGTGCACACGTCCACACACATGTGCGCAGGTTTACCCATACAATGCACACTCTCAGAGGGTAGGGGTATCTGGGCCTGGGTACCCACATAACTGTCCCAGTTGCTCAGCCCTGTGAACAGCCCTGTGAACAGGCAGGTGCAGGGCAGGGCGAGCCTACAGCCTGGGAAACGTCCCCCACTCCCACAGCCCTGACCTTGTTCCAGATGAGCACGGGGGTCGGGATCCCGATGACCTCGCAGCTCAAGTACACCTGGGCACCTGTGACGTTCCAGATGTCCTTGGGCGGTGTCACAATGGAGGGACCTGTGGGAGGACGCAAAGCAGCAGCACTAAGTGACACAGTTGGTGACCCAGGAAGTAGAATGTTGGCGCCGTGGTGGAAGCCAGCTTCAGTCACCAGGCCTCCTCCAGCCCCAATGCCCATGCGCTGTTCTCAGCTCTCCTCTGGGAAAGCACAAACCCAGCAGAAAAACCAACAAGAAGAATTAGCAAGAAAAACTCGTGGCTACTATTTCCTCTTTCCCTCAAGCATTTTATTTTTCATTCACCAGCTGTTTTGCATTATTTGGAATTTTCCTATTACTGTAGTAAATTTTTTTTGTTGTTGTTCCAAAACGTTTTTTTTTTTCTTTTGTTTACCAGTGCCTCTTTTTCCGTTGTTTCTCTAAGAGCAAGAGGTCAGCAGAAAACCATTCCTTGGGAAACAAGAGAAAACAAAGCAGAGAGCGGTAAGATGCTGGTGCTGCCCTCTGGGGTGCCAGGGTTGAGTTCCTGGCCCTGGCTACCACCTCCAGACTCCAGTCAACGCAGAAGCCTTGGGATGGGGACAGTCATATGGGTCCATGGCACTCATAAAGGAGACCTGGCTCTTGTTGCTAGCTCCTGGCTCTGGTCCTCGCTCTATCCTGGGGGTCACGAGCAGACAGGTGCGCCCACTGTCTGCCCATCTCTCTGTGTATCTAACAGGATGTTGTGGAAGCATGCTGAGTGCCCAGATGCTTTCTGAGGATCTTGGAGTGTCCGCCTCTGTCCTGGGGCTGCAGCACAGTGGGCCTGCCTGGACCTGGGGGCCACTGGGGCTGGCACCCTCCTGCCAGGGCAGCCTGGTCTGAGAGCAGCAGGAGCGGGCTCTCTCCCGGGGCTCTGAGGGTCCGGGTCTCTGGCAGGAAGGCACCCTGAGGGTTGTGCCTGTCCCCACTTCTCACCTCCATTTCAACATCAGCACTGTGCACCCTGTGCGCCAGGGGCAGGACTCTGGTCCTGGTCCTGGGCCCAGGCTGACCCAACACTGGTTCTTGCTCAGTCTGCAAGCTGAGACTGGTCCCCTTGGTTTTACTTAAAAATTCCAAAAACGTATTTAATTGCTTTGACAGAAACAGAGAAAGAAAGAGAGTAGATAATCTCCTGTCTGCCAATTTGATGCCCTACACGCTTCCAATGACTGGCACCGGACGAGGCAGAGCCAGGAGCTGGGCATTCAACTCAGGTCTCCCACATGGGTTGTTGCAAGCCGCATCTGTATGCACTGGCCACATGCTGTGCCTAAAATGGCGCCGGCTGGAGAAGCCACACCTTCGTGCGTGGTGGAGAGTCACGTAGCCTTCGCAGTACTGCGCAGGTGCCTAGCGCATGCACAGTGAGCTGCGGCGTGGCCGGCACGTGAACACTGGGGACTGACGAATCCGGTCGCCCAGGACCCTGCGTGATCATGACGCCGACCTATCATCGGCGGAGGCGGGGCCAGTCAGCACATAAGAGCAGAAAGCCTGCCGGGGTCGCCCCCCCTTCCCCCCTTTTCCTCTTCCTCATCTTGGTGCGCGCAATAAATTTTACCGCAGAAGACTTCACTGGCGTCTGCGTCTTATTGCTGGACGGTAAGACACGTGGGCGCGACAATGGGTGGCAAGACTGCATTTACTGGAGCCATCCCAGCTGCCTGCCAAGGGCTGTATTGGTGGAGGATTGGAGGGGAAGAAGGGCCAGGGATGGGATCCTACTTCTCTGATGTGAGACCCTCAGGCTAAACACCTGCTCCCAAGTCTTTGTGAGCATCTTATCTAACTTTATGTATTTGGGAAGCAGTAGGAGAGAGGGTGGGAGAGAGAGGGAGAGATCCCACGTACTGGTTTACTCCCTACACATGCATACATGGCTGGGACCAACAGGCCAGGCTGCAGTCAGGAGCTGGAGACTTGATCCAAGGCTGCCCGTGGCCGGCAGCCACTCACCTACAGGAGCCATGACTGCTGCCACCCAGGTGTGCGCCAGCGGGAAGCTGGAGCCAGAGGCGCGTCAGGAACCCAGGCATTCTGCTTCTAGGCCAAATACTCTGGGTTTTTACAAGGTCCTACAATTTTTAGCAAAATATAACATGTGGGAATGACACAAAGTCCTCATTTTAGCTGCAAACTTGCCACCACGGCCACCATGGCTGTACAGGGCATTTGAGACTGGGACCTGAGACACTGGCCACATGGCCTTTCATGGGAGAAGCATGTGATTTCTGCTCCAATCAAGCAAAGGGAGATTCAAGTCCCAGTAAGACACTCCCAGGAAGGCTCAAGAAATCCATCATGCACAGGTTCCTGGGAGGGAGCTGCTGCTGATAAACCAAGGGGTGCCTTGGTTCTGGGACATGGCAGGGACCAGGGAGGCCAGCAGATCCTTGGCTCTGGGACATGCCGGGGGCCAGGGAAGCCAGCAGACCCTGGGCTCTGGGACATGGCGGGGGCCAAGGAAGCCAGCAGATCCTAGATGCATTCAGAGCTTCCCACCAACCTCTCCCTGGGCCCTGGAGAGGGGGCAGCTGCAGGAGAACAGACCCACCAGTGCATCTGCCCATCTGGAATGGCAGGTGCAGCTGGCAGGATCCCCCAGAGGGCTGGGAAGTGGCAGAGCCCAGGAGCACTGCCTGAGTCTTGGTTCTTGCCAGGGTTAGGGCTTCCTTTCTTCTCAGAGTTCAGGGGTCTGGCTGGGGGGTGGGGGAGGCCTGTTGTTGGAGTGTGTCCCGGTGTGACCACCTCCGGAACACGTGAGGTCTCCCCTGCAGTGGCCGCTTCCAGCACCGCCTTCGCTCTCGAGACTGAGAGGAAACGATGGTGAGGGCTTCGCAGTCATCTCAAGAAGCCAAAGCAGTGTCTTCAGACTTTTTGAATCTCTTGGGGGTAGTTATTTTAAGTTTTTTTCCCCATGGAAAAATGTGCTGAACAAGCCCAATTAGGCAGGCTGTTAAATTACACTTTAAAAAGAAAAAAAAAGATGTGCTTTATTTTTATTTGGTAGAATTACAGAGGAGACAGAGAGAAGATATATACATGCATGTATGTGTATATATGTGCACATATATAGTTGTAAATATTGTCCATGTATTGTTCACTTCCCAACAACCTGAGCGGGGCCAGTCTGCATCCGGGAGTCAGGAGATTCCTCCTGGTCTCCCACATGGGTGCGGGGGCCCAGGCACATCTGCTGCTTTCCCAGGAGCATCAGCAGGGAGCTGGATGGGAAGTGGAGCAGTCAGGCCTTGAACTATGGCATGCCGGTGTAGAGGGGGCGGCTTTCCACAGCGCTGGCCCCTGTTCGTGCCTTCAGTGCAGTCCAGGGCACCAGGTGCTGTGTTTTACAGTCAGTGCTTCCTGGGTCCTGCGTCAGAAGCTGCTGCACAGCCCCGTGCTCCCAGTCTCTCAAGGTCTCCCAGTTTCCCTTGTATCTGTGGCTTTATTTTTCCTTTTGAGGTTCTGGCCCACCCCATGCTAATCTGCATGACGCTGGGTGATGAAGGCCGAGGCTCATCTTCCCCTCAAAGGATGCACAATTCCTCCAGCGGCATTTGAGCAAAACACTGTTTAGGGGGTTGATATTGCGGTGCAGCTGGTTAACTGTCACCCTGGACGCTTGCAGCCAACACCAGAGTGAGTTCAAGTCCCGGCTGCCGCACTTCCAGCCGGCTCCTGGCTCATACACCTGGGAGGGCAGCAGAAGATGGGCCAATGCTTGGGCCCTTGACACCTATGGGAGAGACCCGGATGGGGCTGCACACTCCTGGCTTTGGTCTAGCTCTGTCCTGATGTGGCCATTTTGGGGAACGAACCAGCAGATGGAAGATTTGTTTTTCTCTGTAACTCTGCTTTTCAGATAATAAATAGCTAAAAAAAAAAAAAAAAATCGTTGAGAAACAACAGAAAACAAAAAACAAAAGATCAACTTTTTTTTTTTTTCTGCTGAATCATTAGGCATGCCTCTGTGGCCAAGCCGTGGACCACGTGTACCTTGTTTCCTGCGAGGCTCTCCATACATCCATTCTTGTACCGAAAAGCATGGAACACTCTAGAACATGGAACACTGCAAGAGTGATTACTGGTGCATCAAGATCAGCAGAAATACAGCTTTGGGGTCCCCTTTCCAGGTTTCCCGGTGCTTAAGGGTATAGCTCTGTGGCCAGGTGGGGCCCAGGATCCTGGGGAATTTCTGAACAGCAGCACTCTGTCATCGCTGACAGTGAGTGAGTGTGTGTATGTGTGTGTGTGTGTGTGAGAGAGAGAGAGATGGGTGACAGGGCAGTGGCGGGTCAGCAGGAACAGGTGGCTGTGTGTTTATAAACTCCCTCCGCTATTACAAACATCTTCGAATGCATGTTGGACTCACTAATGCAATGAAATGCATCATCAACATCTACTTGGGAAGGTGTTATTCCACAGGGCTTTGCCTGGGGGTCCCCTGCAAAGGCAGAGAGGCTGTGGAGTGACAGCAAAGGGACCGACAGAACTCCTGGTGCAGGTGGGGGCAAGGCGGCCGCGCTTGGACTTCCTGTTCTCACAACACCCTTCTGGAAGGTTCTGTCCTACCTGATGAGAGCCCTGAGCTCTGTGCCTCAGATCCCAATTCCTTGCACTCTGCAGCAGACCCAGAAACGAGTCCTCTTTTTTCAGGGATAAAGGGCAAACTCAGGGGACCATGAATGGAGTTTCTCACACAGAAGGCGAGTCTCGAGTGACAAGGATGCCGGCTCGGGCAGGCTCAGGGTCTGCATTCCACAGAAGGCGAGTCACGCGGGGACACACACGACGGCCAGGCCCAGAGATTTATTTTTCCATGCTCTGTTTCCATTCAGGACCCCAGGCTGCTCCACTGACTGTCTCACAAACATCCTGTCCCCAGATGGGCTGACCATTCTCTGTCACTGCCCAGTCTTGGTCCCCGGGGCCACGCCACAGCCACATGAGGCATGGTCCATGCCAACGCCACCCCTCCCTGCCCCTAAGGCCACTTAAGTTTCTCTGAACATCCCCCAGGTACACCAGACC